AGTTACACAACTAATACTTTTTACTGTTAATGTCACTAATTTTACATCATTTTATAAATGTATTAACTGTATTAAACTAGAATTTAACAGTTTAATCTATTAAATAAACAGTAAAACATTATATATATAATAAATATGTATTTTCATCTTTTTATGTGAAATAATCAGTGATTTTATGATTATTTACAGATCATTCTCGTTATTCTACATTAAACATGTAAACTCACAGGATATTCTTGTAATTTTATTTCCATGTATTTAAAAAATACAGAAAAAACCTGTGAACAGAATCATTACTGCTATAATCAATACATCAGATTAGATTGATATCAGAAACCTGTGGACCAGTGGAGGATGGCCCTCATAAATAAATAAATAAACAAATAAACACCTATTCATTTATTAATAGGTGTTTATTTGTTTTTGCTGTTTGTTTATTTTGGGACATCAGAGCGACTGTCTCCGCCCACCTGAGGATCTGCGCTCTGATTGGCTGTCGCGCTGTTCACACAATGATTATTATTATTGTTGCCGCCGACGACCCGACGGCCCAACGACATGGTGCACATAGCTGCTGTCTGAAAATAGACACACACACACACACACACACTTATATCACCTGAGACTGTCGACCTTGGCGGGCAACCACACACACACACACACACACACACACACACACACACACCGTTGGTTCCTCTCTGTTGGGGATGAATTTCTTTCTTTGTTTCCATCTGCAGCTGGTCTCATCAGCAAGGCCCGGATCCCCCACTGAGGTGGCGTGACGTGACGTGACGTTGGATTTCAGCATTTCCTTTGCTTTGAAACAGGAAGTTGTCATAACTTCAGCAGCGCCCCTACTGGCTACAGGAAGTTACTGGTACTGCAGTGGCTGTGAGCAGATAAATTACTTTATATTAAAGTGTAATTAAACTTTATTAAAGAGGAAGAGTTCTTATAGACCACATCTTCGTCTTCAGTGTCTCGATACCACAGCTCATCTGAGTTCACGTACAAACACCTGGTGGGTTTCATTGTTATGTTGTTGCTACAAACAAACAAACAAACAAGTTAGTTGGGACTACTTCCAGTGGCGGATGGATCCACAGTTGGTGCTGTAGTGTTGTGTGTGGCAGCAGGACGGAGTATAAATAAACTACAGTGTGTGTTCATGGTAACAAATAAAAAACGCCCTGAATGATCCGACTGTTTTACTTTTACATAAAGTCGATTAAAGTGACTCAATTATTCAATTAAAGACCATGAGACTGTGAATGACCTTCAATCAACCTCAGACACAGAGCGTTCACACAGATCACAGAACCAATAATGTTCACCGGCTTTATAGTCGGAGGAGAAGGTTCTACTTTTACTGTCTATTGTTAAATATCAAACCTTTTATGTCTCTTAGTTGGTTTATATACGACTTCACTGCCACTAGATGTCACTCAGGAGCAAAACAATGAGACTCACCAGACTCCATTTACAAAACCAGCGATTTAATAATAGATAGATAAAAATCAAACAGACTTTAAACGGGACACAAACAATAAAACTTCAGTCACAAACAACGTCAACAACTACTAACACAAGTTTTTTGCCCAGTGTTGTTATTTTTCCACCTCAGGGCCACCGTACTCTGTTGGTATTGTGTATTATATTATTTTTCAACTTCAATTAACAATTTTCAGCAGCAAGAACAAAAATATCTTTTCCACAAAAAGTAACTTTTTCTAGGAATACACTCAAAAATAAGTACGGCGGCCTGGAGGGGCCAAACACAATGCATA